AGCATAGACGGTTACACGCGGAAAGCGGCAAAAATGTTCCGCGCCGAAGCCACATTTGTTTCCTGAAGTTCGGCGGCCCACACTCAATGCCTCTTCCAAAAATCCGTGGGCTTGCTCTCTTGATTTCCAACGCATCTGCGTCGTCTTGAATTTCGCCATTCGTCCTTCATTTTTTTCATTCATTCTTTCCTGTATCCCCCCTACCTTTCCCAGCTGATGCTGATCATCCTACCTTTCCTAGAGTAACTGAGGCCGATCATGACATCACCCTAGAACTCTTGATGCCAAGAACCAAAATCGAGGAAGGACACCGATCAACTATATCGATCCTAATCCGGGTTCTATGTTGTCGCACCAAATGAACGAGATGAACGACACTACCTTCGGAACTCATTCATTCCGTTTGGACGCAGCAGGGTTTTGGGTTAACTGCCCGCTCTTCCCCTCTTCGTCTCTTTTTTTCCGGGAGCACTGCCCTCACCGAGTCGTGGTTTGCGTTTTTAACTCAATTTCATCCCCACAATATGGTGCGTCCTCGAGACCACCCAGCTTGCAGTACATCCTTCCTTGTCCCGCCCACATGGATACGACCAACAAAAAAACTTAACATATCATCTCCATAGGGTAAATTCCAAGTTCCGCCTCAAGCGCAAGTCCCCTCAGCCCGTAAACGCCGTGCATCTCCAACCACCCGACGTTCTCCGCCTACGACATAGTTCCACCTCGACCTGCTCCTTGCGTCAAGCGAAATCCCCGAGACCCGCGTCTCCAACCACCTCAGCTTATCTAACGTGACTCCACATCGAAGCCTGCGCGGAAAACCTCACAAACGGAATGTAAAGCAAGAAGACCCAGCGCACATCGACGCGTCGTGTATGATGCCAGTGTTACTAGGGTACAGTGTGTGTGTGTTGTCTATTGATACATGCGTGGTGACTTAAATGAGTGCGACGAGTAGCGCGATAGCGAGAGAGCCCCAGAAACCGTAGTGCTAAAAGAGTGTGACAGTGCCGTTTCTTGTTTCGTGAATGACAAGAGAACCTGTCCCGTCGTGGCGTGATTACTGAAAGACTGCAGCATGCATGTGAGCGTCGCGGCAAGAAAATGAAAATGAAGAAAGGACGTACACGACTATGTGCAGAGAATACAGCCGACTCCCTTATGCATTAGCGTGTTTAAGATGCGTGGATTGTTGTATTATGGCGTCTCTGACCCGCCGTTGCGTTGTGTATATCACGGGCATTTTGGTTTTTTGTCCGATTTTCTTCGTTTATCATGATCGTGACGTCCCTCCGCCCCCGCCCGCTCGAGACCCCGCGCGCCCCGAGCCCGTCTCGCTCAGCGGCGTCTGCCCCGCCGCGCCCTCCGCCGCAAGGAACAGCCGCCACTCCTCCAGCAGCGCCTGCCCCACCCCCGGCTCGAGCTCCGTCCCGTCGCGCGAAACCTTCACTTCCCGGTCGTGATTCCACGGGTTGCGGATGTGCCGCGTGCGCTGGAATGGCAGCCGCTCCATGCAGAGCCATTGCAGCTTGAAGTCCTGCCCCCAGCTCTCCTCGCGCGTGCCCGGTGCCTGCTCACCCTCGGCCCGCTCCCCGCCCTCCTCGCGCGCGTCGGGTTCCTCTGCGACCGACTTGAGCCCGGACGTCGAGCCCTTCGACACCGGCTGCTCGTGCGCGGCGTCCGCCGCCTCGGCCTCAGGGGCGGCGCGCATCGCGCGGAAGGGCGCCGCCTCGTCCAGTTCAATCGCCTCGCGCGAGGCCAGCGCCATCCGCGCATCCAGACTGTACTTCTTGAGGACCGGATTCTCGCCGCTGATCGCGCGGTGCGGCTTTCCCAGCACCGGGGGCGCACTCTGCACGTCTGGCGGGCGCAGCGGCGTCGCCGACGGCGTGGGGAACGGCGCGGGCGAGTGATCGACGAGGTGCGAGTCGCTGAGGAGCGGCGAGCGCGGCGCGGCGTGCCAAGCGGAGGCGTCGTCGTCCTGCAGGGGGACGGGGTTCGACGTCGTCGCGTCGAGCGGGGGCCGGGCGGTCGGCGGGCTGAGGCCACCAGTGGCTCCAGAGGGGCTGCGCGCAGTCCAGGTGACGCGCGAGCCGCTCTCGGCGTGCCCCACGGGGCCCGCCATCCTATGCAAAATGACGTCAGTACAGGCCCCGCGCAGGACAAAGCAGCACCCACCTCGCATACCCATAGAACTCGCCGCTCTTGTTGACGCTGAAGATGAGGAACACGTCTTGCGCGGTCCGGAACGCGCGGTCGAGCACGCCCTCGTTGTGCCGCTGCGTCGCCCACACGCCGGTGCGCACAGAGAGGTCGAGGTCATCCTAGTGCGGATGAGCTGCCGGTCAATTCAAAGAGACGCAACCACGCACCCTTGTCAAGCTCTTGAGGATGAAGAACCGCTGCGGGAAGTGCCGCGTGAGCAGACTCGAGCTGGTGCTACCGCTTGCATGCGAGCCCGAGCTGTTCGAGTCGACCGGGCGCGGTGGCGGGCGGCCGCCCCGCGTGGGCGGGTCGTCGCTCGGGCTCACCGGATGCGGGTCGTCGTCGCTCACGCTCAGCGCGCTCAGCCGAGTGCTCGCACTCTCGCTGCTGCTCCCCGGCTCCTCGTCCGTGGTCCGCTCCGCGGGCGACTCCCTCGCCTTCGCCTTCACCCACCCCCTGTGCAGCCCCATCCCCCGCTGCCCGCCCACGCCCGCACGCAAATCGTCGTCCTTCCGCCGCACGCGGCACACGAGGCGAGCGCAGCGCGGGTCCGCGGGGCGCAGCGGCATGCCATTGAAGCGCGCAATGGCCGCCTGCAGCGTGGCCTCCGTCTCGTAGTTGATGAACGCGCAGGAGGAGCGCGAGATGAGGAAGATGGACATGACGCCGCTCGCCCCCACCACGTCGCTGTCTACGCTCGAGCTGGAAGACGAAGACGCGGACGTCCCGACGTCGGGGGGCTGCGTGAAGAAGCGCCACAGCTCGTCGTGCCCCGCGTCACTGGGCACATTCCCCGCCCACATCACCCACTCGGAGCGGTGCGCGGGCGGGTTCGGGTGGTACGCGCGGCGCACGAGCGGGCGGCCCCCACCCCCGCTCCCGCTCTCCCTACCGGGATTCGGACTCGGTGCCGACGAAGATGAGGGCGAGGACGGACGCGCATACGTCGGCGACGGGGGGTACGTCGAGTGCGGCTGCTGCGGTGAGTCGGGGTGCGGGGACTGTGGCGGGTAGAACGGGTACGAAGACCGACCAGCGGGGTCGTACCCCGGGGGCGGCTGTTGCTGTTGCTGCTGCTGCTGGGACGGGACGTACCACCACGTCCCCTGGTCGCCCTCTTGCCCGCCAGGCGAGTGGTGCTGCGTGTGTTGATATTGGTACGGGCTCGTCTGGGTGTACACGGGCTGGGTGTACATTGGCTGGGGAGGGTAGTTGGGGTATCCCGGGGACATGGGGGACGGGTAGCGGGTCGCGCCGTAGGCGGGCGTCTCCTGCGCGTACGGGGCATAGGACGCGATGGTGGGGAACCCCGCGTGTATAGATTGGGGCTGCTCCATGAAGGGCTGATAGGCATACGGGGGCGATGGACTGTGCGCCATGTTATGCGGCGGGTGCGGGGACATCATGTATTGTCCAGGGTAGCCGGACCGCGGGGGTGCATATTGAGAAGTGTTGTTGTAGAGCGGCGCGTGGTAGCCCTGGGGCGACTCTGGGGGAACGTTGAGGGAGGGATAATGCCGGGGTTGCTGCTGCTGCGAGGATTGGGATTGGGTCGACTGACGTCGACTCGACCCCGCGCGCGGCTGGTCAGACCCGCCGCGGCCATGCGCAGACATATAAGCGTCCCCTCCGCCGGAAGACCCTTTCAAACTCGACTCTTTCTCACCCAGAAGCGGCGTAAATGCATAAACAGCTATTGTTTGTCAGACCTGGAACGCGCCAGCAAAAAATCGCAGCGACACATACGTTTGGGGTCAGACGTGCGATCGATAGGATCCTCTAGCAAGAAAAAAAGTAAGGATGGGGCATATAAAATGAACGGGGGGGGCGACGCCCAAACGGGGGGGAAGAAAAGCGTGGAGGGCCTCGTTGATCGATCTCCCGTTTTGGGACGTCACGTGATTCTGAGTGAGACATACCTCTTGTGAGGTGGGGCTGCGAAGGTTTGGGTGTGGCCGGGGATTCGTACGGGGAATCGGTGATTGTGGGTATTGAGACCTTGGGTGAGACCATGGGGTTAGGAATGTTGGACAGAGGAGGTCGCAGAGAGCGTTAACAAATAGTGTCAAGTTGGTGCCCAGTCAAAGCGTAGCGTAGCAAGCTGGGCGTAGATCAAAGTTTCAGGAAGGAGAGACCCGGAGATCGTATTCCTATATGTACTAGCAACCGTGTCTTCTCTCACCCTAGAATGACGTCGGATCACGTGCGGTGACGCAGAGAACTCTCGAACTCTCGCGAAAATTCAAGTCGAGTCTGACGAAAACTCCAAAAAACTCCCGAGGCCTGGCCCCGCGCGTCACGCTCCGAAGCAGCGAGGTGGTGTCGTTGAGAATGGACGTCTTTTTCAACGACAGTAACGTTTTCCTCCAACTTGAACGAGTCCGAGAAACGCCGGCAGGTTAACAAAAAAAGCCCAAGGGTTGCCCCGGTTATTGTTACATAAACACCCAGTGTGAGAACCCCAGGGTAGCAAATCGAAACCGAACAAGCGCCCCCGGTTATGATAGGTTGGTTTCCTGACAAGTGGACACCAAACGAAATAGGCCCAGACCGGTCCAAGCCAAAGATGGTAGTTTTCAAATTCCCCGTGGACCACCAGACAAAACAGGCCCAGCCTAGCCTACGCCGCTCCGTGTGTAAATCGCGGCACAAGAGGGGGAAATGTGGCCGAGCGCGCCCCAGAAAGATAGCAAGATCATAAGACCGGCGCCGGCTTGTGGGGCCAAAACGGCCTAGCCTGGAGAAAGAAGTCTAATTAGAGACATACACAGGGAGGTGCAGAACCTACGGGAGTTCCGACTTTAGCTCAGTTGGAAGAGCATCAGATTGTGAATCTGAAGAAACACGCGCCGGCGAACTTGCGGGAGTTGAAGAAACACGCGCCAGCGAAAACGTAAAATCATGCACCCCAAACCCAAATGCTGAAGAATGTAAATGTGACGATCATCGAACAAAATGGAACGTAAATGACGGCGGAGAGGGCAAAGTTGAAAATCAAATCCGGTGGCATTACGATTAGATCAAGGGCCTGGGAAGGAACAAGGAACGCCCAGCCGATCGTGATTGTCCACAGGATAAGACTGTGGATAATAATATTAAGCCCACCGTAAAATTCCTCTGCAAGCGCGTGGGCGACGATCATGACATCACAGTCTAGTGACCACACTCGACGGACATGGTTGAGTGGATGAACGAGGAACATGAAAATGGGCGAAGGAGGGAGTGAAGATCGGAGTGGTATCAGCGGTGATCAAAGAGGAAGGGGTAGAAAGGGAAGGGGAGTCGAAATGGATGTATGCAAAATTAAAAGCGAAATAAACCAGGAACAGAAATTGAAACAGAGACAAGAGACAGAAACCCGAGAAACCCGAGCAAAACCGAAACCGAGAGCAAGACAGAAGTGGAGGAATGTCACGATCGCCGCCAGACCCCACGCGAGCGTGCGTCGGGAAACGCGATAGAACAGGACGATGGAGGAACATGGACTCGGGGGAGGGAGTGAGTGGAGATTGGAGTAAATAGAATAGATGTGTAAGGTAATTGAGGAACGAGGAAATGAATCAGAATGGGAATCTAAAGGGAACGAAAATAAAAGCAAATCAAAACAGGAATTAAAACAGAGACATAAACCCGAGACAAAACCAAGACAGAACTGATTGAGGAAGAGAAGGGGGAAGTAAGAAACGGAAGGAGAATCGAAATGGAACGAACGCAAAAGCGAAACAAAACTGGAACAGGAATTGAAACAGAGACAGAAACCGAGACCAAGACCAAGACCAAGACGGAACCGAAAGTGAAACCAGTATCTTCCGCATTCCTCCGTGTCTCTTGTCTCGGTCTTGGGTTCCACTTTTGGCTCCGGAAGATAAGTAGGCTGGGGAGGTACAGTCTGGAAGATAGAAGAATAGGAGGATGTGGAGGCCAAGGACGAAAGCAATGAGGGAGTGGAGGCGGGAGAAGGCGAAATTGGAAGTGAAAAGCCCTATCCGCCATTCAAATCGAAAGAAGAAGAGGTGGACCCCACCCCCCAGTGTATACACAGAGGTCTGCAAAAGACCACGTGCGTTTGCATCTCTAGGAAGGGCTTTCCCCGCCGGAGCCAGAAGGCCGAGACAGCCAGATGCGTCGCGAGGACACGGAGACAATGTCTACCACCCTTGTCGGAGTGAACGTCGGTAGGTGGGGCGCCGGATGCAGATTTTGCTCCAAGAAGAACAGAACAGAGGACGGGAATGAAGGAAAAGAAAGATAATCATGAGGCATCAAGGAGAAGCCAAAGATGCAAAGCGCGCCGGCGAGGAGAGAAACACCGGGGAGAGAAGCATAACTTGGTGAATCAAAGTGAAAGCAGACCACCCGCATTTGCGTCTCCAGGAAAGGCTTCCTGGACCCGATGGAAGAGACAGCTACGCTGGTGATCGGATCTTCAATCCTCCGAATTGATTGGGTTTGAGCTCGAGGACGGCGGCGAGAAATCGGAATGTGGTGAGACGGGCGAGCGCCTCGCCCGCACGTCCTCCATGCTCGAAGTCCGGAGGACGTGCTACGCGAAGCCAGAGCCCGGAAAACGAGATGATGGTATGGGAACACGGGAATGACGTCACATGTGGCGACCATTGGCGGAAAAAGCTCGCTATTGACATGGAATTGCAGTGGACTGGCACGGAATGGCAGTGAGAGGTGAATCGGAGGAGGAGGAAGAGAGGAAGAATGTAATACTTTGCATTGGTTTCAAGTTCGTGTGGCCAGTGGCGTATCGCGGAACCGATTTGAACATTATGCCTGCATCTTGTTTAGGAGAGAAGAAAAAAGGAACAGAGACTGGGATGTCAAGTACAGTGAGCTGAAAGAAAGAAAGACAGAAAAAATCCGTGGCAAAAATATGATCTCGGAACTACTGTTTTGCCTTGCACCACGACACTTGAGGCAGCCAAGTCAGCCCCGTCCACATCACGCCCTCAGTGGGTCAACACTCAGCGTATTCCCTCCCCGTGGCTGGCTTCGTTGCGTTGAGCGGCTTGAAGAGGTCATTCGGCAATCAGATCTCTGCAGGATTCATACCCACTCATACTCTCCCTGCGTGTGTACAACTCTGTCTTGGTCTCTCCAGAGCTGCCTCACTCATCGTCCCTCTCAGGATAGGAGACCCATGCGCCACTCGATTAGATTGGATTCCATCCATGCTATCTAGAACAGAACAGAACAACCAGATTTCAAGTCCGGATCCTCCAGCTGCAGTAGGCTCCTAGCAAACAAGACAAGTCCATCCTAGATTCGATTCCGACCTAGAGACCATCCTGGGTCCCTGGAAGAGACCCCATGCACATCCAGTGTCTGTGCAGCACACACTGCACCTACCTGACAGACGCTCGTAAGTAAGTCCCTGCCCCAATCGCGAAAAAGAAGGGTGCACTTATTGACAACGCAATCCCTGCCGCTTTGAACCCCCAGGCCCGTCTCCGCGGCAGGACGGCGACGACAGTACCAGCTCCGCAAAGCAGACACAGGGCACGATCGGACAACAATGTGGGCCCATGCCCATGCATGAATCGATTACGACCCCCCGCCAGGCCGCCATCAATACCCAGACCTGCGGGCGCGATAAGTACCCCAGCCGCGGACGACGACGACAGGAACGCTTACCGACCAGGGACCAGTGACAGCCAGTGCCCGAGTCTACACCACCCACCCGCCGTTGGTCAGGACGGTGTTTCGCCGTTGGCAGGCCGCCTCAGTCTAAGCCTAAACCTAGCCTAAGTCGAGCGCGCAGAACGACGAGGCGCGAGCCTGTTATCGCCCTGCGGCGGGTGCGGGGTAAGCGCCGCCCTACGCTCTTGTAGCCGCAGCGCTCGAGAGCAAAGAGGATTCAGAGTAGGATAGTGCGCACGCACGTAGACGCAGGGCTGCGTCGTTACTGCGGAACGCACCATCCAAGAACGCCAGCCGTCACCGAATCCGGGCTTCCTGTGAAATGAGGGTCGTGTAGTGGTCTGTTGCACCGTGCGGCGACGTGGCGTATATTGATGCGTGTGGAGGGCGGTGGGATGGGATGGGGTAGCGGACGTGAGGGCGGTGGGGGCCTGTGCGGCGGTGCGTGGGTGGAACGAAGCGAGCCGCGGAGTACTGGTGGAGAACAAGACGGCTCGGGTATAGGCGATCCACCTGTCGGCGGTACCAGCAAGGAGCCCTGCCAGTCGGACGATGCACCTGGGTATGTCAGATCCCTGCAGTGCGTGCTGTCCCGGCGAGAGACTGACACCGCGCTCCCAGGTAGAGGATTGCCATCCGCGGGGCCAGAGAGCACCTCCTTACTAAATCTTGAGCGTGCCGTCTCATCCTCCTGCTGTCCGTCGCCTCCTGGTGCTCGAAAACGACTATAAGTCCTCCCCCAGTCCAGACGGGTCGTCCATATTTCGACCCGTTAAAATCCCGCTCCAGGGCGGCTCGCTGATGTTCTCGGGCCCCGCCAGCCCACCATCAACAACCCGCTCTCACCGTAGAGGGGAAGAGCTCGTGAACGATCCAGCGATGTCGATATCTGCCTGCGGGCGTGGTAAGTACCTCTGCCGCGGAAGCTCACGCCGGGAACGCTTACCGGCCGATACGCAGTACCCGCACGCCGTCCCACCAGCCCTGCGTGTGCACCGCTGACAAGTCATCCCACCCCGCCAGCCCCAGGCCTATGCGTAAGCCCAGAGCGTGCAGGAGGCCCAGGACCGGCTGTCATGCGTCCGCCTTCTTCTCGTCAGGCGGCGCTCGGGATAAGCGCCGTCCTGCGTCCTCCGCCATAGCGTTGGGTGGGCAGTCGGAAGAAAGAGCGATTGGGCTCTATAGGCAGACGCTTCCCCGCGTCACCGCTGCATTCGGCGTCATGGAGTGCTTGGCAATGACAGCCTGCAAAATGAGGGTCGTATAGTGGTCTGTTGCGGGTCCGTGCACGGCCGGATGCGGACGGGGGGCGGATACGGCTGGGGTCGTGGGCAGGTGCGCGGGATTTCGATGGAGTGCGATGCGGGAGGGGAAGGTCTTCCTGACCGGGTGGGTGGCGGCGCTTCTCGCTGTGTGCTGGGGTGCGGGGGGTGTAAATGTCGGGAGGCTTTCAGGATTTCCTTCCGTCGCGCGGACGGGAGCCATCCTGCACTGGTGGGGGAATGCCAGACAGCGGTATGTAGACCATCTCGTTACTGGTGGCGAAGTATACCAATGACCAATGGGATAGATATAGGCGGAGACCGACGGCACGTCGCTGGGCTTTACACGAGCATAACGCATTCTACGGCGTGAAGGACGAGCGAGACGCTGGAACGATCCATTTGAAGTTCAGAGGAGAAAGAAAAAGGAGGAAAATATGGTACCTTGGTCCTGCATAGGTGGTCCCTCCGCTGGTGGTGCGGGATGCACACCGCCTCCGGGGAAACTGACGCTACATTGTCAGGCCTAGGATTTTAATTCGTGAGGCCGCGCTTGTCGGCGAGGAGCCAGCCAATTTATGGGTGGATCTTCAAGGGTGTTCCGTCGACACGCCCTCTTATCCTTCCGCCTGTAGACGGCGCGGAGGCATATAGCTTTCGCAGAGCAAGTGCCACAATATGAGGTGGTCCTTGTGTTGCAGTTGTCGGGCAAAATCAATTCGGCCACCAAGACGACAAGTCCACGACCCAAACGGGGCGTTCATATATTTGCCTGTCGTGCTTCATGGGTGGATCTCAGTCTCAGTCTGCGGATAATTTTCGGCGTCGAGTGGGCTCATGGAGGGTGTGATGGTGGTGGTCAAGATACTGTCGTTAGACAATCCATCACAAGTAAAATCATCTCGAAATCCTCCATTTCGTCGCTCAGCGCTCATCCTTTCCTTCAACGCCCACGACGCGC